CCCCCAAAACCCCAAAACCCCTCTAGATAATAATTGTAAGTAAATTATGAAATCAAGTAATTAACATTCATATATTATATATTCTTGTCCAAAGCATGATGCTGAATTTGAAACTTTTCACTCATTTATATCTAATATGGATATTCTTCCATTCATCTGAGAAATAACAAATTTGCTTTCTTCTCTCATAAATCTCACTCTAAGTACATATTCATTTGATTTCAATTTCTAAATAATTTAAATATAATGTGTTACTTACATGATCAGCAACCTGAAACTCTCTTATTAATTTGAACTCAAATACCCTCTTGTCACTAATGATATTCAAATCATTTTTCCTTCTAAATATTGATCTAGATTTTTCTATATGAGCATCGTTAAAAATAATTTCTTGCAAGATACCAGTGCCATTTTCATTAACAGAGACAATTAGATTCTTAATAATATCTATAGATGCATTTTCCTTTACTTTTCCTTAGACTGGATTATCATTAATATTCAGAAACTGCTAGTTGACCACATCATAAACATAAATATTGCCTGAGTTCAGAAATATTAGAAGATATTAGCTGTAGTTTTGCTTCATAAATCTCACACACTAAATATACTGGCCAAGCTCAGATTGTCCGAAATTTTTGGGTAAGTTGATAGATTTAAACTCTGTAGCAGTAAAGTTATTCCAAAAGCATATAACATTGTCTATACTAGCAGTAACAAGTAGATTTTCATCACTTATATCAATAGAAATGACATCTTTTTAGTGCATAGATTTTCTTTCCATAAAGTTTACAAAATGCCTGCCTTTGGCAAATTAGGATTTAGAGAAAAATCCTACTCTACCTTCCCAGCATCCTGTAATGAACCAATAGTTACAATTAGGATTAAAGAATCTTAAATTCGATACTTCATGCTCGAGTCTCATTGGTTATGATTCATTGTAAACTAATGCTCCTGAGTATAAATTGTTTACTTAAATATGACCTTTGTCAAAGGCTACCACAAGGTATTTCATTTATGGATCTTATACTATAGCAGCTACCCTTCTGTTTTCATTTTGATGATTAACTGTATCATATCTTTATTCAATAAGATAACTTCTAATACATTCACCAGTAAGTAAACTCCAAACTCTAATCATAGCATCTGAATCAATAGTAATGATGTTATACTCTTTTTCGTCAATGATTGTTCCGATAAGTCTAGATTTATCACTAGCAAGGACATTTTCAAACAATTTTGTAGTATTTTTATTAGCAGACGGTTAACTTACTAATTTCATAGATTTCTCATTATAGTTTTCTTTGAAGTATTTATATTGAATAGGATTGAGACAACCAACAAATGGAGATCTAGGGGAAATTTATGTACTTAAAGCTTTCTTTTGCAGAGTTTCAACCATGATTTGTTCTTCGATTTTTATCTGCTCTTACACTGTCTGTTTTTGTAGCTTGACCTACCTCATCAAATCCTTCATGTAATCTTTGGCTATGGTTTCCTATTACTCTACTTGTATTAGAACTTCATTGTCAATCTCATGTTTAAATAAATACAGCTTGTTAGTTCCCAAAAATAACTCTCCTCTATTAATGGCTTAAAATAATAAAAATACGTTTTTGGAAAAAAGTATGAGGATGAAATTGTGTTTTATTGTATAACTCTTAGATCTTTAATCAATTGAATGACCTCAAATTTTTATGCATCCCACACTCCTATTTAACCATTTTCAGCTACAGTAATAATCTGCAATTACTACTCATAAAAGCTAAGTTAAACTATAGGATGGTTATGAGCCTAGATCACATCTATCACCTTCTTAGTTGTACCATTCAGTCCACCAAGTTTTCCTTAGACTCCTCCAAAAGCAATTCTAAATTTTATCTAAATTCTAATTGTATTACATATCAAGTGTTTTGCAATAATCTAGAACTGTAATGGAAGATCTGTTTTACTTTTTGGTATCATTGATTCTCAGTAATTGATTACTCCATATAGATTTGAAGTCAATGTTATCAAATATTTCTATGTATCCATTGAAAGTTGTTAGAATGAGGCCAATATGCTAATTATAGATAAAGTTAGTCACTTAAGACTATGGAGCAACCTAATTGAAAATTATTTTGTAGGTGCTGAAATTCTTTTTTTAATCGAATTCATAAACGGCTATCTGCTCATCTATATATGAATAAACTCAAATATTTTCTTACTTTATCCACCAACGCAAACTAAAAATAATTCTCCAATCTTATGCTAAGCAACTGACATGCAAACAACCATCTAATCAGTCTTTACTCTATTTCTCAATTAAAAGGCTAACTTAGTCCCAGAATGCTTAGCCTCGTAAAGTTAGAGATCTCTATTAACCAAAGCAAATACTATTACTTTAAGCTACTCTGAGTATTTAACAAATAGAGGATAAGTAGTCTTTTCTGAATCGAGTCTTTAAACTTCTCCCTCTTTTTGTTTATTTTCCTCCTCTCTTTATTGATATCTTTATTGCTCCAGTAAAATCTTCTTTTAAAATGCATGATTCATAGCCATTTTCAATTCTGCTCCGTCCTCGCCACTGCTATCTGTGTTGTGGACAGATTCATTCAGGTATCTTCCCTGAATATTTTTCTTCTTTAGATGGTCTTTATAGCTCTTATTCATTAGTTTCTTAAACATATTTCCAGTATTATTGTTGATAAAGGATTTTATTTTTAAAGTTTTAAGTTTGTCGAGGAGGTCCCTACTTTCGGCATTGTCTATTAGCTTAAAATGCTGAAACTGTTCCTTGTATTTTCCTGAATCTTTCAATCTACTCGCTCTTAATGTTCTAATTATTTACTAGTCTTGACTATCTTCTTCACCTAGAAATTGCTATCGATCCTTCAAATATTTATCCGTAAGCTTAATTTCTACTTCAAGCTTCTTGATAAAATTATTAAATTTGTTCTTATGTCTTTCTCTCTCATGTTCTGGTGTAAAAAATTTCTCATCTAGTCCAAAAGCATGATGATGTGCCTATAATATTTTCCTATCACTATGTTATGGGGTCAATACCTAATACATTTAGTCCCTGCCATCTCTTATAGGATCTATTCCAAGAATTCCATAAAATTTAGGTTTTATTTTCACTTTCTTAATGCTTAATTAACTTTCATCTCCCATTATAGTCTAGTGCTAAGCATTTTGGAGAGAAATATTCATAAATTTCTTGCCTATCCTGGATTTTACTTTTGGGGAAGCCTTTTCTTCATCGTATATTGTATGTTAATATCTTGACATACTTATTGTTTCTGCAAGTCTTTTTGTTAATCCTGTTTTCATTTTACTAAGAATATCAGACTTTTTCCTTACTCCACTTGCAGTTCTCATTACGCCTCCTTTTTTCAAGCTACTTCTTTAACCAGAACTATTAGAGATTCTAGCAATTGAATTCCTTTTTAAAGCCATCAATGCCTATGTTGGAGAGCTAACTTATGATCCACCCATTAGAATATCCTAATTTTTGAAAATATGAGACATTTTTTTGGGGTCGTGCTTTTCTTTATGTTTTGGGTAAACAATTTCATCATGAAAGACAAAGCTATGGATAACGTTGCCATTAGCATAGTCTCTAATTTGTACGCTCTTATTTTCAAATGAAGTTAGAAGAAGATATTTGTTTTCAAATCTAAACAGCTTAATAACTTCTATATTGTATGCGATACTAGAAGATGCTGGCATTCCTTTAAGAGATCTATCATTTTCAAAACGAGAATTCTTAGTCTATAGAGGAATTTCTCTTTAGAATTTTAGTCTTTGTATTGAATGGAAATATAGTTAGTGTTCACTCAAGATATCTCTAAAGAATGATTCTTACTCTAATAACTTCAAAAATTCATTTAACGTAATTATATGCTCATCAGTCTTTAGGTCTAGTTGTTTGATCATAAGCTTCCATTTTTTATCGGTTTATACTATTGATTGCTTCAATGCATTAAAAAGTTTCTAAATTACAGATTCAAACAAAATTTACTTACTTCTATCTTCACTTAGGGCTCTTTAATTTTCCTCTAACCTCGAGAATGACCAGAAAAATTTTTCTAAAATTAATTAAAACAGTCTAAATACCCTGTGAAATGCAATATCTTCAAATGTCAAATCAAAAGGATGAACTTTAATGTCTACCATTGTTTTATTAATTTTCCTTTATATTTATGAAATTTCTTTTCTCAATTTCTATTTTTCATATACATTTAAAAAGAGGGGGTTTTGGGGTTTTGGGG